GTATATATATATATATAGCAAATGTTTATGATACAAAGACTTTAATAAAGTGTGTGTAATGTATTCAAAGTTTAAGCTCCTCCATACGTGGAAGATTGCATATGTCAGCAAGACAATTTAATGATGGAGACATCACTAACGACTTCTGCACCAGAAACGCTGCCACACAGGGTTTGAAAGTAACATTTTGAAAGCCATTATTCATGGATTCCTGTCATTTTTCTTTCCATCCTAGATGGGGAAGATGACCTCAGCTTCCACTTCAGGATCCCTCCACGCCATCTGATCCACACTGACTGTCACAAACCAACTCCATATGTACAGGCCCAACCTCTGCTCTTCATTAGCCAGTATTGATTGCATGCGTCATCCGATGAGCAGAGATTGTAATGGATATTTTTTTTAAATATCCATATTAAAAGGAGATTTCTAGTTTGGAGGACAAGGATGGTACTCCCTCAGGTTGACTTAGAAAGGTAATGTTAAAGTGAAGCTTCAGTTAAATCCCATATCATTGTTACTGCTGGTACCCCACTGGGGAGATTACCCCTCACTTCCTGTTCTGGTGACAGCGGGCATCAGTATAACAAGTCAGGGGAAATCCCACAGTTGTCAACTGCCACTCGAGCAGGAAGTTTCCCCAACAGGAACACAGACCTGTAATACAATATAACTGTACTCTGTACACCATCATTGCTGTTTGTACTGCTTTAAAGCTCATTCACACCAGGGCGGTTGCAGATCAGCGCGGTTACCTAAATGTATGGGATCGTTCATGTCGGCGGATCCGTGCGGCCGAACAGCCCTGGTGTGAACGGGGGCTGCATTTGCCCCTGCCCGTTCCATGAATGCATGCCAAATGCACACAAAAAGTGGAGCATGTTGAAGGAAATGCGGCAAAACATGCTATGCGCTTCAATTGCCATTCATTTCTAATGGCACCCCAAACATAGCCAGCAAGACCATAATGGCACCCCAAACATTTCTAATGGCACCCCAAACATGGCCAGCAAGTTCACAAACATGGAAGCAAAAAAATGTAGGACTTGTCTCGCAAAATCTGCTGCATGAGCTTTTTTGCCGCGTTCGTTGCGCATTCAGGCCCCATATGAATGCGAATGTGATGCGCGTTCATGCAACCCGCAGGTGAGACTGCGAGGTAACAGCCTGCAGGCAGCCAAGCCCCCTTTCACACTTTGGTGTCTTTGCTCATTCTTTGCGCCTGTGTACATGTTTTTTTAGGCTTGGGCCTTTTGTTTTAGCCAAATGAAAGCTATTTATGAGGCGTAGGCGGACATAAGGCACGAAATCACGCATGTTCCGCGTGTTTTTCAGGTGCTGTCCACAGTGCACTGTACAGCATACACTAGAAAAGTGAGAAAACAAAAGTGCCCTTCAGGAGTCGCATACACCGGTAGATTTTCAGAATATGGGAGAATGTCGTCTGAGACTGGACGAATGTTGTTCAAAAATTTAATTTGTTACGCCATTCGATTCTGGAATGAATGGCGAATACTGAATGAAAACCACATTCACTATTTTATTCACATTTCATCCTGCTCCAGTGGCGTCACAAAGGGGGGTGCGGCCTGCACCCGGGTGTCACCGCTACAGTGTCAGGAGAGAGGAGGGAACCCGGCGGCATACCCCATCCCGCCGGGTGAACATCCCCTCCTCTTTCTACCGGCATCCATCACCAAGACAGTCACCGGCAGGCGTCAATCAGATGGGCGAGCATGCGCGATGACGACACGGCGGGACGCCCCTGTCCTGCCCTTTCGATTTTTTTCATCACTGCAGTAGCAAACGATTGTCCATTCAACCCCATTGTCTATTAGAAGAACGAACGAATGTTCCAAAAATGCATTTTCTCAAACAAAATGTTACTGTTCACACGCACATACAAGGGCCAATTTAGGGGGGAGTGTGGGAAAAAACCCGCACAAGCCCAGCAAGAACATGCAAACTCCATGGAGACGGTGCCCCGGTCCAGATTTGAACCAAGGACCCCCAGTGCAGCCCTATAGATGTTTCACCTATTACAAGTCTCAGATCATTGAGTTGGCTACAAGCCTGCAGGGAGTGTATAGCAGGGACTGTGGGTGCCATTCACGTACAGGGACCACCCCAGTGATCAGCATCTTTATCGTCTTCACAAATTTCAGCAATTTTATTTAAAAATTCTCACACCATTGATTTCTCAT